CAATGTTGCGGCGGAAGAAGACGAGCCGGAGAAACGCCTGGCGTGCTGGTGGCTTAATTGCTTGGGGATTCCAGCTCGTTATGGCCGGTGTCTCAGGTACGCTTACATAATCCGTTACAGCGGTTTCGCTAACCCAGTTCGCGACCCTGGTTGGCCCGGCTATTTACTTACGCGGAATCAAAATTTCTTACCGTTGGAATCTTAAGGTCGTGGCTTTTCTCCTCGTTTAATCGATGCAATTTACTCCATCGACGAAGATTAAAGATGATACATTTCGCACGTTATTGAATACTTATTGTTAATTCAGTATCGAGCAAACGTCATTATGCAATGATGTACCTATGCAATCAATGTATGGCTACAATTTATTAAAAAGAAGAATAAATATATCTCTATTTTAGCAATGCGTCAAAAGTAATAAAAATTATTTCAAACATTTTCAGAAAATAATTTAACTGTTCACTCATTCGCTGATTTTAATTATACAGAACTAATTTTACCGTCACTTCATTCGCAATTTTAGCTTTTCAAATTATCAAAACATTTATCGAAAAATGAATCAAGGCCTTTATATATTCCTGAATCTAAAATAAATTGTCAGTATTATAATATTATGTCCGTATGTGTTATTCATTATAATATTATTCATTTACTCCATAATTTACAAAAGTCTATTTCGAGTGTCGCTTTTTCCATTTCTGATGTATCGAATTTTCTCATCGTTCAGCTGTTTGTATCGTTAGCGTTTATCCGACTCACGATCCGTGCTTCTTCGCTGCTACCCTTTTCCATAAGTTTCTAGTATCCTGTGGAAATTTCTCGATGTGCACCATCGGCAAGTCTATCTGGGAGGTGTAATTCGCGGACGTCAACGGAATACCAATGTCGTCATCGTCGTCGTCGTCGTCGTTCTCTATCGTCATCCCCGTCGTTCTCCATTCTCTCCGTGAGTGGTCATAAAAGTTTAGAGGAGCGTCGGTTTGGAGTCACGAAGAAGAGAGAGAAAAAGAGGGAAGGAGAGAGAGGAGGAGGACAGAATGAGAATCTTACAAAGTAAGAAAAAAGATGGATAGTTCGTAGACGATCTACTTTATTGCGGCATTGAACATTATGTAGCTTATGAAGGCGAGATGGTAGAGCTTTGGCCGGATCCGGGAGAGGAAGAGAGAAAGAGCGAGGAAGATAGAGAGCTTTCGTTCGTGAATGAATGATCGTTCCGTATATTGACTGGTATGGTGAGAGGGTCGAAATGAATTTTTATACACTGATCACTCGCCATTCATTCACTGTTGAATAATAAAATGGAGCAAATTCACCGAGCATATATAGAATTAATTGGTTATCCAACAGGAAACCAGTTGTTATTGCAGGCATTTTTGTATTGCACAATTTAACTCTGGTTTTGATCAAAAATGGAAAAAAAAGAGTTATATTATTTCGAATACGCGTCCTATGATTGTAATTCGGTAATAAATTTTAATATAATACGTGTTTCTCTGTTTTGTAAATGTGTCCAATGTGAATTTACAAATTCCGTATCACGAATGCAGCATCTGCATTAATTCGAAAATTTTCTTGCGTTATACATATATTTATATAATTTAAGGATGATATCTCGGCGTATCTTGGTTATTGTTTATATGTATTATCGCGATATTACGCCACGTCATTGTTTATGCGATTGCGATTGCAATCTTTAATACGAAACTCCAGAGGCTGCTTCTTTTTACATTTGAATTGTAAATTTTGTACGCCACGTGCGTGGAATGATAAATACTATCCTTCGTTCGTATCCGCCTCCCCAGAGATCCGTACGTGACTCAGTCCGGAGAATAGCTCCTTGCTTCTTGCGAAGCGGCGGATTGAGCTTTTCGATGCTTCTTCTCATCCCGAGAAGGATAACCACGAGAGATAACTGCGAACGAGCAGTGAATTAAATCGAAGTCAATATTTCCCTTGAATTATGAAAGAACCACCGGAAAGATACACTCTCGTGAGTGGTAAGATGGTAGATAGACAAGTCAAGTCGAACACATCATTCTTTAATTTAAAAAAGAATTTATCGTAAGCTTTCGTCGAAGGACGTTATAATAAATTTTAGACAATCTCAAAAACGAATTCGCGAAGCAAATTATCGAGTAACTTTTACGCTTTGTTGAAAAATGATGTAAATGGATATGGAATCTAATGAAGAGGAGGGATATAATTAACTGCACTAATTATGTTTCTAAGCAAACACCCAGATTCTAGCGCGCGGAATGAAAATTCAATCTGTATGATTATCACGAAATATCAATTATATTATTTGCTAATATCTCGTCAATTAAAGTGATTCTGTTTGCTTTTTATATATATATATTCTCGTATATAATCGAGTATTAACCAATTCACTAATTGTCGTTATAATGATCTCAAAATCCAATAATTTAAATGCACCGCATTAACTTCGTGATGGATAATTTATATTCCATTACATTTCACATTATTTATCTCGAGATCGAAAGTAAACCGTCCCATCGATTATGGAGATTCTTATTGACAAAACCTTGCTATTTTATAACATATTAACATCGTTCCACCGACATATTTTGTTATCGGTGACCAATTCATTTTCGAACATCGCCAAATCTTCGAGTCCTTGGTTCTCGAATGCAGTTGTTCGTTCCGCGCGAGTCGGTGGATCGAGGAATGAAGGAGGAGAAGAAGGATCTAAGAAGACAAAGAGATGCCGTGGAAAGAGATGGGAGGACGAACGACCAGTGGATCAAACCGAATCCAATAACTCCCGTGGGATTACAACTCTGGCCCACGGGAACCGATCGTATCCCGAAGAAATGGTGGGTACGAGACACGGGGTAGAAAGAGTGAAGCGGAGACATTCGCGAGGAAGGAAGAAGGGGCAAGTTTGGGAAGGTGGATCGTCCGGAAGAGAAAAGTAGAGAGGTCGGCAGCTTTCTTCTTCGTGGCACAACAGCAGAAACGACGATATTTTGTCGAGCTCGACCGGAATGTACAGAACGAGTGCGAGTTGCATTTGTATCAGAGCCGATATAACGGGTGGGTCAAGCAGAGGCAACGGCGCCGAGTAGAAAAACAGAGCGAAAGAGAGACGGAATTTGGCGAGTTCGATACGTTAGCTCGGACACGTAGCCAATATTAATCCGCGGCGGTCGCAATAATTGTTGCCGCTTTTTATATATCGGACACGATTGCCCCCTCGAGCGATCGGGTCGCGCGGGACAAACGATCGAGCCACCACCTCGACTAAATGATAAGAAAATACGCTGTTCAATCACGAGCTTGTCAGGTTCAACGGGTTTCCGTGACGCGCCTCGCAAAACGTTCCCCGGCAAATTGAATTTCTCGAGGCACTTCGCGGCGAATCGCCCAAACTCGAACACGCGAGCAACGAACAGCGTGCAACGATTTAGCCGATTCCAGACGAGCTCCTGCGATAGAAACGATGTAACTTATAAGTCGTTCGCGGGATTTTGACAAATCGTCCGAGACCGACCAGTTCCCGATTTTCTCCACTCGTTCCTCTTTTTTTCCTTCTCTCCCTCGCTCGCTCTTCTCTTTTTTTTTTTTTCTCCCAACTCCCATCCCGTCACTTCGTTTCTTCTTTCCCAGCCGTCTTCCCAGTGCCGGTGCACTAAATCCTCGTGCCACGCCGCGCGAAAACTTTTTCCCCGCCGAAGTTGGAGTTTTCCCGGGGTTTATCGGCGCGGTGCGGGTAGTTTTTACTTGGCAACTCTTTTTTTTCCCCACCTTCTCCCGCTCCTTCCCCGTCCGCAATCCGATCGCTTTTTCGGTTCCTCTCCCCGCTCCCGGTGTGATTCGCTTCCGCTCGTCTTTACGTGGATCGGATAAAACCCAACGGCCACGCAAATCAAGCGTAACGAGCGGCTGCATCGCGTTGCTCACCCGATTGGTCGAGAGAGCTTCGCAATCGATACGATATCGCGAAAGGGGGTTTCTCGTACCACGATAAGGTTTAGCCAGTTATGTTAATCCGATAGCTTATCAATTGCTTCATTAATATCCTACCTATAACTTGATAACATAGACCTCGTATTCGGAGCTTGCAACGCTGTACGACTGTCCGAATCTTCAATTTGAGATAACGAATTTTATACGAGATGAGTCAAATTCATAATTGTGCTTAAGAATGTTTTATACCTATTTTCAAAATTTTGAAAATTTAATGAAAATTGCACAGAATGTCCTTACATATGTTTAGAATCTTCAGTACAATTTTTAAATCGATTCACTAAAGCGTTCACAAGTTATAAGGATTTTAATTTGCATCGAATTAACATGTTTTTTTTATGGAAACGTATAATCACGTCGATTCAAATGACAAAAATACATGGAAATAATATTCAGAATTTGTTTAAAATTTACAAAAGTTCAGATACGAGGAAATATTTGGTCAAATAATATTATACAAGTACTAACTGGTTAAAAAGATATTAAATATAATTTAATGAAGTTAGCCATGTATCTGACACAAGGCGAAATCCTCTGCCAAAAGTTAATCATTTCGATGAACAAAATTCGGAATATTTCAATAAAAACGCAATAAATATTAAAAAATATCTGCACTGTAGCTAAAATCAAATTGTAATATTCCACGCAATTTCTGATACTCAAAATACACCAAAAGTGGATATATTCGTCAATATTGATTTTCAGCTATTTTTTGCTGGGATTGTACATACAAAACATTCTTAATGCTGAGTGTGTATAATAATTTATATCATTTTTTATAAATTATAGACGATAATAATCTATCGTCACAAGCATTTTCTATAAGAAAGGCTCGGTGAAAATTTTACGTCGAGGCAATTTCGACACGAGGTCATAGAAAAAATCGCGATGTATTTACGTTGAAACGTTAAAAGGGGCATCATGGCGTTTCAGTAACACGATACTGAATCTTGTTGACGAGGCAAATGGAAACGCACAAGCTACATCGAATGAAAAAGAATTGTACTCACTGACTAAGGTGAGGAAAGGCATACTGTGCTGCAGAAAATGGGGCGGACTACATGCTTCTTCCGGTCTAGATACTGCTTTTCCCGTCTGCAGCTCGATCACGTGGCGGTCTCTTCGGTAGAATGTCATGCACATAAAACCGCTCCAACTGGAAAAAAGAGGAACGCGAAATTTTATAAAGGTCGGAGAGCGACATATTCCACCGCTTTAATCGCATTCGTTATTATCCGAACAGACACGCGATATATGTATGTTGAAATTCTCATTATTAGAGAGAATTACAGAGATAATCACTGCAATTTTTTTATGACTTTAATTCAAATCTTCGTGCGACGCATATCTTTTATATATCGCATATTTCGAAGATTAAGTAATAATAATTTTTGAATATTTATAAATGTAAGTATTATAAAACGCTCTCTCTTCATTTTTTTTACTTAAGAAATTTGAACACGAATAAAAATTATAATATTATACAAAATAACGTCTAATCGAGACGAAGGACGATCTTACCAGCCAACAGTGAAGTGCGCCACCAACATTGTCATTGTTATGGTCTGAGCTCCGTTCGACTGCTTTATGCTGTTGCAGAGGATCTTCGCGTCTTGATCTTGCGATCCGAGCACGTATTGTGAGTCCATGGACCCGCTCTCAAAGCTTGACGAAGTCGTGTTTGGAGCGACGTGCAAAGAAGCGTTTCGCGGATGAAACGTGTAAGATCTGTTGAGGTCCAGAGTGTGCCAAGTCAGTCCGCTGCTTAAGTGTCCGGTCAGCCAAATCGGAAACCGACATTCACCCGGAGACGAGACTAAAATCAGAAATATACCGTCTTGCATTAACGCCTTTGTATTTAATTAAAAGTAGGAAACACACACAACCATCGCATTATATTGTTTTCAAATAAATAGAACAACAAATTGTGTGTGTGTGTGTGTGTGTGTGTGTGTGTGTGTGTGTGTGTGTGTGAAATGGGTTTCTTTGAAATATTTTAATACAACACGCTTTTATTGTTCTTGATTAGACCTAGTATAAATAAAAAAATAAATTCTAAGATCGAATATATCTATCTATAATATTTTTAATGGCACACTGAGAAAAATTGTTTGATTGTACCAACAAGACGATTATATGATTGAAGGCATTTTGGTTAAATCAAACGAGAATTTCTAGTTATCATGATAAGACTCGATTTTTTATAACTAGAACGTTTTATAGATTTTACTATAAGGATTTGGTTAGTATTTTCTGGTTCTATAATTATATATAAATATATATTTTCTTGGATCTATAAATTTCTTGTTACATTAATTTCTTTGCTTACTTCTTAATTTAACTCGTATTCAATATTTGCCATGAAATGTATATAAAGAACTAGTATTAACGTTAAATCCAAAGTATATTTTTTTTCTCTTACGAGCAGTAGTGTCAGAAAGAGGACGCTAGCTCTCTAATTGTGTGTGTTTGAGCTGCATCCTCTTTTTGCATCACTGTTTATCAGTTTAATTTTTAACAAACTGAATTTAAAATAATTTATTCAATAATCTGGATTAAATTTATGCAATAATCGTGTTGGAATTCAGAATATTAAACAGACTTTTGAAATTAGATGGAAAAAATTTTAGACGACTTGGTGCTGGCGAGTTTAATATTATTAACCAGAAAATTTGGTAAATTTAAAGGGAGAAATTAATCAGATTCATCTGGTAATTCTTACAAAAATTCTGATTCATCCATTTTTCAACAGACATACTGGTTGAATCTACCAGAATTCTAATTCTAATTAACCAGATTTTTTTCTCAGTGCGCTTTTATTGCTTCTTGATTAGACCTAGTATAAATAAAAAAAATAAATTCTAGGATCGAATATATCTGTCTATAACATTTTTAATGGCAAGAGTCTTGTACTTAAACATACCAATTGTTCAGGAAAAAGTCGTAATTATATTTTTTCATTAGTGACTGAGCTTTTGCGACTTCTCCTTTAAAACCTTTTCCTTCGCAACCTCAACTGTCGTAAAACGAATAATTCTCCAGGTCACCGTTACGCATTCCGACGTATATACAATATTTGTTGCCCGTAAATGCCGCAGGATCGACGACAGCAACATACGTGGTTACGTCGTACGGGCTGGCCGATATGGTGCTCAAAAATTCCACGGTCGTCCACCGTAAAGTCCTTCGTATCGCGCGAAATGACAGTCGATAAAGTGACGACCTCGATACTCGATATAGACAGAATCGCGAAATACTCGTCCCGAATGCAGCCAATCTCCCTCCCGATCTTCTCCCTTCCGTTTCGCTTTCATCCCTTTCGCATATAACGCGACGCGCTATGCGACCAATGCACTCGCCCGAGTCATACCAGCTCGCCGGGACGTTCCACTTCCGGTCGCGGCATGTAAAATCGGAGTGTCATGAGAGCGTGGGGTTCGATCCGCGTCGAGTGTTATATCCATGGTGAGAGGATACGGTCGAGGGCGGAAGGTCGATGGGTTAACCGAGCGCACGCGGCCGCTTTTATGGCACATAAAGGCATCGTTGTACACCGCGTGGCAAAAAGAATGAAAATAATTCAACTATCCGCCCCGATAAGTTCGTACATCGCGATACACCACGACCGAGATACAAATTTCGCGATAAAAGTCGAACGAAGTCTTTCCCTCGTCCCTTAAAGTAGGAACGACGTCGTTATCTCGTCGCTCACATGACTTCTTTGTCGCGTTACATTAAAATTAATCAGACTGATGAATATACGGTTACTGATGTATCACTGATTGGTCTGGACTTTTTTTCATCGAAAAAAATATGAATTATTATCTCGCATATGATTTATTTAACAACGTATGTATAACGTGACGTGAAATTTTGAAATAAAAAGATATACAAAAAGGATATGCATATTACGTAATATCGCGTGTACCGGTGACCTATATTTTCTCGATAAAACGGAATCATTTAAATTTCAATTAAATGATTTGTAGTGCAAATACAAATTGCATATCGTTCCAGTTTTCTTCTTTTTACATTAATTGCAGAAAACGATGAAATATAAACGGTACGTCTCTTTAACAACGGCAAAACTTGGGACGAAATAATAACGCCCTACATTCGCGTTATTATTTCTGCGTTCTGGTAGCGTGCTTTTTTTTGCAGCGACGTTATCCGTTTTCACGTTTTCGACTAACTCGTTTTTCCACAAAATCGCGAGGGTGATAGAATTTCGTGATTTTCATATCGAACGTGCCATCTCGACCGATCGTTTTAGTCTACGGTCGTAATTGTTTAAAAGGCCACGTCGCATCGCTGTTAAAACCACTGGCATTTAATGCTGTTTTTCCGAAAATTAAGTTTCTAAAATTGGCACGCTGAAATACGTCGGCGTATCGGGAGGGTTTCGCATACCGTTGAATGAATTTAACTGCTTCGAGTCAAACTATGCGCAATTTTGAGAGAATTACAAGTAATTGTAATGCGGATAACGCGACGGTAATTCGGTGAAATATGTGTGATGTCATGATTATGAATTTATATAGGAATTAATAATTGAGTGGACGTATGCGTGCGCACGTGCGGGGAATTATGTCGATTCCGACATGTGCGAATATTACATTTATATCCGTTACTGGCAATCGCGTTTGACAAACGTTCGACATTTGTATTATCCGCAATATTCTTTTACAAGCGTAACCAAATTGGGTTAAAGCAATTCGGCTGCGTTGATAATCCGAGATAGAACAAGTGCGCGAATGTAAATTGCATCGTAAAATCGAATGGAGAACATGTGTCTTCCGATTTGATCCTCTGACCTTTTCGAAATTTTTATTCTGCTGACATTTACATCTCGGAGGTCTCTATGCTCATTTCCCTTTTAATGATTTTTTTAATTATATAGAATTTTTTTAAAACCTATATTCCAAAAAGTTAAATTCATTTCAAAAAGTTAATAAAAGGATATTTGCTCATTATTTTTCTCATTTTTCTTCTGCAAATTTCCACCTCATATGTAATTAACCTACAATAATTATAAAATCAGTTCTTTTAATATTTACCTAATCGTTCAATTTATCTTATATCTCTTAAGGATGTTTTGTACCTATTTTCAAAATATTGAGAATTTAATGAAAATTGTACAGAATGTTCTTACATATGTTTAGAATCTTCGGTACAATTTTTAAATCGATTCACTAAAGCGTTCACAAGTTATAAGGATTTTAATTTGCACCGAATTAACATGTGTTCTTATGGGAAACGTATAATCATGTCGATTCAAATGACAAAAACACATGGAAATAATATTCAGAATTTGTTTAAAATTTGCAAAAGTTTAGATACAGAGGAAAAATTTGGACAAATAATATTATACAAGTACTAACTGGTTAAAAAGATATTAAATATAATTTAATGAAGTTAGCCATGTATCACAAGGCGAAATTCTCTGCCAAAAGTTAATCATTTCGATTAACAAAATTCAGAATATTTCAATAAAAACACAATAAATATTAAAAAATATATCTCTGCACTGTAGCTAAAATCAAATTGTAATATTCCACGCAATTTCTCATACTCAAAATACACGAAAAGTAGATATATTCGTCAATATTTATTTTCAGCTACTTTTTGCTGAGATTGTACATACAAAACATCCTTAATGATTATCTTTTTGCTAATTCTTAAAATAAAAATGAAAAAGGAAATATATATTTCCGACTCTCTTTAACTTGCTGTTGTTAGAATTCCGATTATCGAGGAAGCTTTAAAAAATCGATGGGATTATTTCTTCCCTTCGTAACAATTCGAAATAATGTTGTTCTCGAAATTTTACGGTCGAATAATTGATATAATTTGTCCTCCCATTCGCCCAACTGTTTGACTCGCTCACCAACTGTGTGCTCCGAGCGACTATTTCGCGATGCAGTCTCGCAGTTTTCCCCAGATATTTACTCTGGCAAGGTTGATGCCGAGCTAATTGAACAAACTTCGGATCTCGACTGCGAGGTTGCGGTTAATAGGGGCTCGCACGAGTGCCGGAAGATGAGGGCATGATATACCTATCTATCTACGCCAACTGGGCAAAGTGGGACAAAAGGAGCACTAGCTAAGTCCAAGGGATGAAGCAACGAAGGAAGATTTGATGTTAATACATTTTTCCGCATCTCTTCGCCCTCCCGTCTTTACTTTGCGCTTTTTCCTACAACGCGAATTGTAATATTGACAGCGAAGCTTACAACAAGCATCCGCCAAGATGCTGTCTCTGTCTTCGATTCTTAAGAACTCTTGCCCACCTTTTTCCCTTGTTCATTCTCTCTTCTTTTCTTCAGCGAGTTTTATGCGCGTGTCGGTGACTCCCACTCGACTTAAAACGATTTGCCGAAGGAAGTGGCAATTGGAGAGGCGCGCGATGAACGCGCTGTAAAGAGGGGGGGGGGGAGGACGAATGCGCCAGAGGAGAAGATCGTGAAAATCCACCGGAGTGAAATCTGTTAACGAAGTTTGTCGTGAAACTGTGCAGAGCAAGATACGGGTTTGCAAACTCGAGAGACGGTGCGGCAGTAAGAGACAGAGACGTCAAGCTCCAGGGAGAGGAGAAAGGGGTTAAGATGGAAGAAAGGGAATACGAGCATGGAAAAGTCGTGTAAATATTTCCTTTTTATTCGCAGAGCGAATAAGAGGCGCGCGTTAAAAATCGTTCGATTAATGCGTGCTTGCGAAAAGTATAATTTCGTCTCGCTAAGAATAATTTGTTCCAGACACACACACACACACACACACACAAGTCCGAATGAAAAGATTTATTTTGCGATTTATCATCACGACTTTGTATTTTATCATTCCGAAAATCCTATTACTTTTTTTATTTTATTCGCGAATATTTAAGTAATAAATTTTGATAAAAATAATATTGACTATTATTCACATACGAAAATGATGTAAAACTTTTCACGTTAAAAAAATAGAAAACTTTATATCATGTAATATCATGTATACGAAAAATCACCAATTTAGATCGAATATTACTCGTAAATATGTATAATTTAATAAGGAACTTATTTTTCGGAGTCTGATACGGGGATAAAAGCTGAGAAAAATCGTTTGATTGTACCAACAAGACGTATATGATTGAAGGCATTTTGGTTAAATCAAACAAGAATTTCTAGTTATCATGATACGACTCGATTTTTTATAACTAGAATGTTTAGATTTATAGATTTTACTATAAGGATTTGGTTATTTTCTGGTTAAATCTATAAAATTTCTTGTTACATTAATTTCTTTGCTTGCTTCTTAACTTAACTCGTATTCAATATTTGCCATGAAATGTATATAAAGAACTAGTATTAACGTTAAATCCAAAGTATATTTCTTTTTCTTTTACGAGCAGTAGTGCCAGAAAGAGAACTAGCTCTCTGATTGTGTATGTTTGAGCTGCATCTTCTTCTTGCATCACTGTTTATCAGTTTAATTTCTAACAAACTGAACTTAAAATAATTTATTCAACAATCTGGATTAAATTTATGCAATAATCGTGTTGGAATTCAGAATATTAAACAGACTTTTGAGATTAGATGGAAACAATTTTAGACGACTTGGTGCTGGCAAGTTTAATATTATTAATCAGAAAATTTGGTAAATTTAATAGGAAGAAATTAATCAGATTCATCTGGTAATTCCTACAAGAATTCTGGTTCATCCATTTTCCAACAGACATACTGGTTGAATCTACCAGAATTCTAATTAATGCAACCAGATTTTTTTCTCAGTGTGATATTGCTCGATTGTATGGTCGATTTTGGATTACCTGTCCAAAGTATAAACGACACTAGTAACGAACTCTTTTTTATCATTGAACTCTTTTGTTTCTCATTCGAATAATTTCGGCGAATATTGCGAAAACGTCACGACCATTTATTACACCGAATACCTATCGTGATCTTTTCCAAGTCTAAACAATAAAATTAAGAAAACGGGGGACATTTACGGCTACGAAATATCCGTGTATATACATTTCGGATTAAAAAGATTTCGGATAGCGCCGCGATAGCGCGAATATTACGAGATGTTGTTTAATCCAGCGTTATTTATCCTCCGGTACAAGCTGAAAAGTCCGTTCTGGAAATCGGGAAAATGCGGAAAAACGCACGCGGCCAAAACGCTGGAAGTGGAAGAGGTGGGTTACTTACGATCGACGTGGCTCCGTAGCGCCCCGATTAAAGCCCGCTTTCATTGCCCGGAGAATTTCATATCTTTCCTTTCGCGATGATATTTATCAAGCGTAATGCGCGAGCGTGAAGCCCCGGTAATTATATATGAATCCATTAACGGAGAGCGAAATGGGATTGCGAGCCGCGAGATGAAAAGCGAGTAAGACGGAAATGCGCACACGGTGCGAAAGGGAAAGAAGATAGGGCGCTCTTTCCGTTCCCCAGGTTTTCATCCCCCTCCTACCCTCTGCTCTTCGCTCCCTTCGCCCCGTCACTCTTTGCCAGACGTCGTGCAAACACGCTCTTCTTATTCATGGAATAAAAAAACCTCGTACGTTGATTAGCAATTTTTTAAAGTATACATTACCGCTACCGCATGACGCTCGTAACATTTTAGAGCTCGCATTTTGTCAGTTATAATTTAATAATTGTTAAGTGTGGGTGTATGTGTGTTTGTCGGCATTCCACTTAAGATGTTTTCCACGGGAAGCAGGCGAATACGGTGTTATACAAACAGCATCAGAAATGTAACATCGTCCGTGGACAAGCTACACGCGCGTCTGCTCGTACGAGTCATAAAAAATTTCAAAAATCCGGCCAGCTAGAAAATAACGATAAATTGAAACGTCCGTGGCCCGATGGGAATCCTCGTCAAGCACGTATTTACACTGTAATAATTAAAATCCACGAGAGCGGTACAAATGAAAAAATTTTAACGATGATGAATCGTACAACTGGAGATGGGAGACACGATCCGTTGATACGATTTATTACTACGCGATATCTCATGATAATTAAACATTTTTTAACTGCCATAACTTTTCCACCCGCTAAAAATATCTATCTTGCGCTACGCGAAGTCTTCAAACACGCAGCCATTATTATTATTAATTATTCAAACAGCGATTGGAGAAAAAGAGAGAGAAAGAGAGAGAGAGAGAAAAGAAAGTTGCTATTTGTTATATATATATATTTTTTAAATATTCATTGTTTATATTATTGATTCATATGTAATTTCATCAACATATCTAAATCGGAAAAAACTTGTAAAACTTTTAACAATTTTTAATTATTTATACACAGTGTATGCATGTATATCTTCTTTTATGCGATATATCTCCGCGTTGACGTGTGCTAAATTACATTTATCTTTAACGAAGCGTCCAAGTGAGAATAACGAATTGAATAAAAAATAACATACACCGGTAAAAACGATGATTTAAAATTAATTTGGAGTAGACCAACTAAATGAATGAAAAATTTATTTTATCACATGAAACTCGAGCATTTTCCGATTTAATCGGTTCATATATAAAGACCACCCAGGTCAATGTCTAAATAATAATCCACAAAAATAATATATAGCTGTATTCTCCAGTATTAAATATTGAAAGATCGTCAAATTCACATCGTAGAAGCTATGCAAATAGTTCAAACAATTACGTTGTAGAGAAAAGAATTTTCTCGTCACAAAATTAAAATTTAGATACACAGATACATTATCGGACTCACCTTTCCTCAACGTCATCGTTCGGGAGCCCTCCATGGGACTGAACAGACCATTGCACGTGGCGTCGCCGCTCTGTGCCACCCGGTATACCTCGGCGGAGCCCTCGGGCACCGGTCCACCCGGCAGAGCGACCTCATGATCCATGGCACCTATGCCCATGGCGGCTCTATTCAGGTTACCCTGCACCGTCTGGCCGGCCTTCTCGTACACGAAGCATCGGTATCGATCCTCGTTACTGGACGCGTGGCCGTGATGCAGACGGCCAACTAAGTAACGGCTGCTGCCCTCCTTCCAGGTGGCCAGGCATTCCAATTCTTCCACTGAAACAGTCAAACAAATATGCTCAATGAAATTAGCGAAGCTAACAATAGTTTCAAGCGAGCGTCAGCAAAACTGTTTATAGTAAAATCGTCTAATCGACAAGATAGAGTTCAAATACATTCTTGACAGGCAATGTGTTAGATCGTGCAATCTCTTCTCGATTAATTCATCGTATAATAAAGAAATTAAATATGATATTTCAATATCTGCGGACAGAGATATGTACGCGTATATTTAATAAATATTGAATTTATACGAAAAATTATTAAATTTAACGAAATATATATACATATATTATTTTAATTAAATTTGTAGCATAAACAAAATTTGATGCCAAAAATTCAAATAATTCTTTTATTTTCATTTATAAATGTAAATAATATTAAAAAGAATTAATGCTTCAATGAAAATTACATATATATATATTATTTACATGTAACATTTATGCATTGCCACCTGCAAGTTCTGTAGCCGAGCTACTTCTCGTCTGGACTGAGATGCATGTATAATTTTAAATAAATTTTTTTATTCATACAGCCAGGATTTTCCTGAAATAACTGTTGAGCAACTTTCTAATTTTTCTTAAATCTTTTGTGAAAATGCGGCGTGATATTGACAAAGTCTTTGCATGCAAAACTAACAGACTGTCAACGGCACTCAACTGGCATTAAGAGCGTTTAAATCTGTACATCGTGTGCTCTTAAAGCGTGCGCGAGCGCAGAAAGCGTGAGTCTAGCGTGTAAAGCATTTGAAACTTCGAAAGCGCATTTAGCGTTTCGAGGCGTGTTACAAAATAATGGCGAAGCACGGTTGCGGCCTGACACTGCGCGCTCCTATGTTTAAACTGTCTGGAGCAACAAAATTAAATGAATTTGAGTTTGACGCTCGGAGCGCTAAACGTGCTTCCGAAGTTTCAGGCATTTTACACGCTAGACTCGCTTTCAGCGCGGCCGTAGCTTTAGCTCGATATACATCTCAAAGTTTTATTCTACGACAACGACTCTCCACATGATAAAATCATCCGCTAGACAAAGAATTGATGGAAAAGCTCTTGATGACGTTCGCTTAACAAACAATCGTATTGTTTGAGAAAGCGACTCCCGAGAATCTCTCCCAAAATGTATATTTTAGCTCTTTAAATCCTATGGAAATTCTTTAACATCCCATGGTTATCGATAAAAATATCGAGTAATATTATTGTTGCATTCGCATCGTAATTGCTTTTATTGCTTTTATCGCTTCTATTCCGTTTCGTTCGGAAAAATAAATTCCACCATCTATGTCGATGATATTAAAGTTAATATAGCTTTACGCAAATTTTTGCAAATAAGAAAAAATGTGCCACATAATCACTGACTTGCCGGTCTTGTATTTTCGAATCGCAAAATAACATTGATTACTCCGACAACTTGATAGTGTTGATATAATCCAGTACCTCGCGGCTAAAGCTTAATGCTCGATTTGGCGCCAACTCTTTCGGCTATTATCAACTATTCGCAAAAGCGCACCGTAGAGAGGATTTCGATAGCACTCCTGGAAGCGCTATTGAAGAAACGGACCAATGCAAACGTACGAGAAAAAGCGGCGAACAAAAAGACGAGAGAAACGTGCGGGTGCGGCGATCGCAGACGGACAACCACCATGTGATTTCCGCGCGAAAAACGCAGCCGCGATTACTGACCATTGCCCGCAGGTCGTACTTCGATATCCATTTTCACTTTGCTGCTGGATTTTTATTCGCCGCATGCAATTTTAATGAAAACACATCTACGGGTTCATGATAATCGATGAGAAAGTGGACGAAAGAGATACATCGTATTCCCATGAGAGTTGAATAATCACCATAAAAAAATATAGCAGGCTCTCATTGTTATTAAACTAAAGGATTGCAAAAATAAATTATATTATAAGAGACATTTTTCACAAATATTAAATCACGTGTTGCGGCTCTTTTGAAATTTAATTTGGAATTAATAAACTGTGCAAGCATTTACAATTTTTAAATATATACAAAATTTATCTTAATTATCTGCGATTATTTATCTAATATATTTTCTACGATTATTTATCTAATATATTTCCTTGAATTTCTTTGAGTTTTCATATAATTTATAAACTTGTTAAAATTGTTCTTTGAGAAGATGATAGAAATCGATGAAAAAGTGATAGCAAAGGTTTCAAATCATTGAAACGTGTTTACACTTAAAAAGATAAAGGCAGAATGTACGAGAGTAATTAATGCATGTAAAAGATTCAATTTATGTCGATTGAATCCTGCTGATGCTCGCAATTGGCGAGCCACATGCTGGCTTTGATATTTTAACTTGATTATATGCTGTATTCGCTGTAATAAGAAAGAGTATACATATCAAAATGCGTACAGCAAAGAGAACGTGACTTTGACAAAATTCAAATAAGATTGTATCTTTATGTATTTGTTCTCTTTATATTTTCGATATGAGAGATCAAATCTATCGGCAATGTTAAAGCTACAAAGAGAAAGAGTGGTTGTTTCTTCGGTAAAAGAGATTCGAAGAAAAAGAAAACACGCACAATTACATTTTTTATGAAAAAGTTAAATTTTCAAAGAACGATCTCTATACTTTTCCTTCGAAATAAATATTGCAAATATATTTACAAATATATTTTGTAAATTTCAAAAAATATTCTCCGCAAAGTGCTATGTTATGCAATGTAACATGCACTGAGAAAAAAATCTGATTGCATTAATTAGAATTCTAGTAGATTCAACCAGTATATCTGTTGGAAAATGGACGGAACCAGAATTCTTGTAAGAATTACTAGATGATCTGATTAATTACTTCCTGTTAAATTTAGTAAATTTTCTGGTTAATAATACTAAACTCACCAGCACCAAATCGTCTAAAATTTTTTCCATCTAATCTCAAAGTCTGTTTAATATTCTCAATTCCAACACGATTATTGAATAAATTCAATCCAGATTATTGAATAAATTATTTTAAATTAAATCGAAAGAAATTAGGCTCGTTATATATTCAATAACATGATAAGAAAACTAGCGTCTACGAGCCACAGAGGATGGTAAATGCCTGAAAAATTCTTTTTAATTGTACGCGAAATTTTAAACGAAAAACACGACATATGCATATATTTTACTTGGTGCATTTAACCAAGATATAGATTCTCATTTTTGAGAAATTCCATACAACCCTCTTTACTCCCCTGAAGAGACGTAGACGAGAAAAATATCGGGGCGAAGTCGCTGAATCGGGAATCGAACCCGAGTCTTTCGCTTGCCGGGTATTTCGCGTACAATTAAAAAGAATTTTTCAGGCATTTACCATCCTCTGTGGCTCGTAGACGCTAGTTTTCTTATCATGTTATTGAAATTATTTTAAGTTCAGTTTGTTAGAAATTAAACTGATAAACAGTGATGCAAGAAGAGGATGCAGCTCAGACACATACAATCAGAGAGCTAGCGTCCTCTTTCTGGCATTACTGCTCGTAAGAGAAAAAAAATATACTTTGGATTTAATGTTAATACTAGTTCTTTATACACATTTCATGGCAAATATTGAATACGAGTTAAGTTAAGAAGCAAGCAAAGAAATTAATGTAACAAGAAATTTTATAGATTCAACCAGAAAATACTAACCAAATCCTTACAGTAAAATCTATGAAACGTTCTAGTTATAAAAAATCGAGTCTTATCATGATAACTAGAAATTCTTGTTTGATTTAACCAAAATGCCTTCAATCATATAATCGTCTTGTTGATACAATCAAACAATTTTTCTCAATGTGCGATAAGTGGAAAAAATTGGCCTCGATATAAAGGTGCTCTTTTTTTCTGGATCCAGAGAATTTTTACTTTGTACGTGACACATATGGAGAGGAACTATCTCGATATACAAATTCCCGTTAAGAAAACGCTGACCTATAAAATTCGTCAAAGGATCGGCGGTTGAAAGACATCCGATAGATCCGGGGCATGTAGGTTCCAAAGATATCGCCGGACGACGGACGTTTATTCGCCGCAAAAATGTTTCGAGCGCAGCGTCCGCCGGCCTGGCGTCGTAAAGACGCTTCCCAGAGCGCTCCTTAAAGCGCCATTGGGAGAGACCCACCCCTCCCCGCTCGTCCCTTCAGACATTCAACGACGGACGGAAAAGGTCGGTCGGAGGAAGACGGATGAACGTAGGAGAAGAAGAAGCGAGGAAGGAGACCTGACGGCGCGACGAGCGAGCGATCGACTACTCGCTGGCGAGAGCGGGAGCTTTCCGGAAGATTTCCGCGTGAAAAACGATACCGGGATTCTCTCCGGGCTGTCGCCGCTTTCCAGAGATCCTCTGGCTTCCACGGCGACGAGACCGACAATTATCGGTTCGGTACCGAACTCTCGAGGCGTGGCCGGAAAGAACGCGCAAAGAGCGAGGAGATATTATCGTCCTGCAGAAGCCGCCGTAAGTTCGCATCGCCACTTTAGCCTCGTTCTCTATCTCCTTCTTTTTTGTCCCTTAGTCTTCCTCTCTGAGATCCGGAGCCTCGGAATAGAGGTAGTCGGAGCATGATTCTGGAAGCGCGTATCTAAATCACATATCTCGTAGGAGCGCGCAAAGGTCTGCCTTCCTCTCTTTTTCTCGGGGCCGACTCTTTCGTACCGGCTCGCTCTTTTACCGCCATCGCGAGCGCGAGCGGCGCCTTTTTATCTCCTCTTTTGACCGCCGGCGGAGTCGGTTTTTTGATCTTCGAGTAATTTGAGAGAGGTGCCGCTTGAAAAAAAGCCTTATTCCTCTGGACTTTACTCCAGGTGCTTTCCCTCTGTGCACCCTCGCCCTCGTTTTTCTCCGCATCGCTCGTCACCGTCAAAGCATCCGGCGAGAACTGCGATTTTTCGCTTTTTTGGACACGCGAACATGATTCTTGCGCGGGTGCGCCAACATCAAAAGCAGAATCGATAAATTAATTGTAAGAAATAATATATATTATTTACACGTCTTAATTCTCTAATTAAATATATCGAGAATAATTGCAATTATATATATACATATAGTTCTTAAATTCCGAAATTGTTTTTTGAACGATAGAATAAAAAATTATTGTTAACAATAATATTATTTGCACACTACGCGAAAATTACAACTTTTTAATAATTACATGCATTTTTTTCATATTTTTCTTTTAAATCAAAATCGTTTCGATAGTGAACAAGCGTGATAAAGTTTGAACGTTACTCAAAATATTATATGTCACGAAAAATGCAGAAACATTAGTGATGTGAAACCGTTTTTTTTACACTTAAATCACTACATCAAATTACGGAAATGTTAAAGTTTTCGTCTATTTTATGCTGCATTTGTCGATAACGATACATGCTGTACCAATAAATCGGTTTCTCAACAGGTTGTCGAGGTAGGGAAAATGGAAGCATTGATGATGTCCCCTTTCTTGCGTAAATGGAAGGGAATCAGGATGAAAGGACCGCAATACCTGTGCGCCGATTTAATTCTGAAAAATCTGCCGCCTGACCGATTCGCAACTACTTTTTTTTTTCTCGGCAAAGTGCTCGTTAAAGGCTACGATTCGCCGGTTAGATTTCACCCGAAATCGTTTCCATTTTGATGAGTGTTTGAAAACGCGGGACTAAAGCGCATCGAAAGTAAATCCGATCAAACGCGGCGAGAAAAATAGAAGAAAATGCAGGTACCTATATAAAGCCGCACGCTAGTCTGGTTCTTTCATTCATCTCGTTCGCTGTATTTTTACATGTATAGACCCTTATAATCCGTCATGTTATTAAAAATACATGTGCAGATATTGCGAAATTATAGGAAGAGCAATAGCTGTTAAAAAAATTGCAGTATCAGATTTTTTAATTTTTTACGACTCATTCATTTGGAATTCCGTTTCTTTCGAGAGGGAGTTGCACGAGAGGAATATTAATAATTTTACATTATGGAGAGAAAAATATTTGATATTCCGCAATTTTTTTCGCGATAAAGTACGAAACTGTAACTATAATCACGATAAAATCAAACGAAACGATGCACATGTATGCAACTTTTTTAACATGTTGAATTTTCCTTGAATCATATGGGGCCACGGTATGTGTATAAATGTAAATTATTTTGTAAAAAAGTATTATGGACGATTTTGCGAAAATGTAAATATTTTAATTCGGAGTAATGTAAATATCTAAATATAACAAGCACAAAAGTATGTTGATAGTGTTTTCTTTAATTTAAATCATTAATTGAAAGGATATTCGCAAAATAAATATTCTGTTTTGTTATCCCCTATCTCTCGTTTGGCAGTGATAGTCATTCTAATAGCAATCGATAGAATTGATGAATATTTAGACACTACCCACACATTTTGCAGTGTAACTTGTTATAATTGACAACGCTGCGATAGCTTCAAGTGGACTATATCGGCAGCATCGATTATATACCGTAATATATTGAATCGAATACACGTCAGTCAAAAGTACATACATAAACCCGATATTGACTACAAATTTAATCTTATTGCGTCACACTATTAAATACGAATCCATCGAGTAACAAGTGTTTAATTACATCGTGCAAGATATGCAAACTGATGGGGCGATCAGTAATCTATCGAGATCGCTGAAGTGACTGCTCGCGCGAGACCAATCACGCTAATAAGCCCCACTACTCAGACTAAGTTGTGCCAATTAATCATCGATTAGGCTTTTAAACAAAGATTTTACTCGACTGCTGCCGAATCTCTTGCGAGTTGTATTTTATCTAACTTAAATTTATGTAACTGTAAACTAAATAAATTTATATACTGCATTTTATCTAAATTTATATAACACTGAAAATGAGAATGCGCAGTAATAATACGAAAATACAGAATATTTGACACAAAACACAGCTGAAATTTCGTTGTGCAACACTCATTACATTATTATAAATTATGTAAAATATCATATCGTTATATCAAAGAGCATATAGATTGTAAAAGGAAAATATTAACATAATTTGTGTAATAATATGATTACACGCATCGTATTTACATAATTTGTAACACAATGAATGTTTCAAAGCAACATTCTTGTAAAATGAACACACACGTGTTATATAATAAATAAATAACAGTAAATGAGAGAATTTTATATGAACAACGTACTCGCAAATATATATAATAGTAAAAAGTGTGAAATTTATTCATAAAAACTACAGAGACTTTTAATCTTTAACACTTTAAATTTCTATTTTTATTGAGTATATAATTGAAAAACTATTTGCAACCTTTTCGTTAAAGCAAAATGTGCGCTAGATTTGTCAAAGAATGTAACTGGATAAAAGAGAGTTTACGATGAGAGAAAAAAAGAGGGGAGAGAGTGAAAAAAGACATCCTGTTGTTGCTCTTTTTCAGAGACTTTCTGAGATTTAACAGTACCTTGTAATTTGAAGCTTACGCAACTACTATGCATTTATCTTTAACTTTTTCTTTAAGCTATGAAATTATGGAAAAAATGCCATGATTTCTTAAGAAATATGTTTTTAATTAAGTATTTTTTTCGAATTTAATTAAGTATTTTTACGATTTAAATTGCGTTATTTCCACAACGTTAGCTTCTTCCCCCAACACATCCAGACCAAAGAAAGTTAGTTTGAAAATACAAATAAAAATAATCAAAGATCTTACCTGCACTCTCTGAAGCGGATACATCGGGGCAGGCTTGGTACTTGAAGAGGAGTCTGCTGTCATCTGTACAAGTATCGACGTTGCTCGGTGGATTTGAACACGTACCATGGCCCCGATTGTACGAGAAGGTCATGGGTCCACGAAAGGGGCACGCTACGGGGGGTGCTTCCTCGCGAAACATAGAGTACAGCAACGCATCGCCCGTAATATATGAACATAAGGACGCCAGAGAATTTTTACTGTGGCAAAAAGCTGCAACAAGAAATTAATCGAAATTAAGTAATCATGTTTTATAATACACATACATATATTCTATATTAATAATATGTATGGATCTTATTCATCGTTTCATAAATTCGCGGCCCAGATTTTCCAACAGAAATATATCCATTATTCGAAAACGTGGCAACGCATATTAAAAGCGTAGCAAAAGCGATATGAGAGAAATAATGTGATAGAAAAAACCGAGAGGTAATTTACGTATTATAAACGAGAGATACATTAAATATGTTTAATAAATTTATTTTAAACGCGTTAAGTGTAGACACAATATAAATTATAATTTCCCGTTTCGAGAGACCAACCAATTCATGAAGGTATTTAATGTGAAATTTATTTTATAAAATTTTTCATAATTTTATGAACAGAAAAGCGAATAACTTTACTTTACGAGGAAGAAATTTATTTAAAAATCACGATATTTAAAACACTTTATTCTTGTTGATTCGTATAAATTTGGCAAATCTATGAAATTTGTATTATTACAGGATTCGTTCAAAAGATCGTGATTAGAGGTCTTGTAACATCGCGGAAACTTCAATTTTCTCGAACGCAATATCGCCCTGTTATCGGATTTCGTATCGCTGATGATAACGTATCACTCGTATAACGTAAAGTGAATGAAAGCCTCGGCAAGCCGTCCTATTACTTGGTTCACTTCGCTCTTGGAAAAGTTCCGCGGCAGCAAATCTTTCGCTACGACGCGTATCATTTTTCGAACGAACCAACGATAATCGCAGTTACATCTCTTTTTACGAGGCTCTCCTCCCAGAGGAATCACGACGTTAATAAAAATTTTGCCGGGTAACGAAAAGTTCTTATATCGTCGGCGACACGGGGGAAAGAGACGGGGATTGAAGTGGTCCCGGCAGCCATTGGCGGAAGAGAGAGACGGAAGGTCGAGTTGGACGATGACGAATCTTCCTGAGTAGCAAGTTCATACTCGCGGTGGAAGTTTAACCGAGGATATTTCCCTCAATTTCTTTCCCCGCGCCGCGGGAAAGTGGCGGAGACTCCCGCAAAAGACTTCACTTCGCAAAGAGACTTAACTTTTCTGCACGCAGGTGTTACCCGCGGCCAGCGAAAAATCGAGCAAAAGACTTTTGTCTTTAGTCTACCTCTTTATTGGCGGCGCCGGAGCTCCTTCAGAGCGTTTAAAGCTTCTCTTCTAATTCGAATACTTTCAGCGCTTGCAGACTGTTCTCTTGACAATTGTTTAGAATTGTATAAGCGGCGTCATCAATTCACACAGATATATGTCAATTGCAATTCTTTCATATCAAATATTCATATCTGATAAAGAAATATTTAAAGAAATATAAGCATATTTATTAAATTAATAAAAATAATTATTAAATTATTTATTAAATTAATAAAAGGAAGATTGCTAAGTAAGAATATTATGAGTGATGCATATAAATTGCTTATAACTAGATTTTATTTGTGTGTTAAAATACATAGAATAAATTATGTACTTTATAATTTTTCTTTTGCGTCAATGAGCATCACACGTACATTGGTTTATAATATTATTTCAAAAATAATATTATAAACCAATGTACGTGTGATGCTCATTCAACTTTATTACTGTATACGTCACATTTATTCAATGGGAAAAATTTCATCGGCACGTATAGCGCAGACAGGCCGAGTTTTCACTCGGCACCGCGAAAGCGCAAAATTCGCGTTTCCTTAATAAAGTATACGTCGTCTGCGGAAATATTGCATTCGCGCTTCGACGTTTCGAGCTCCGCTGTGCTTTGACGTTTTCGCAACCGAGTTGCGTGGGATTCGCCCTGGGAGAACAGGACTCTAGGCACGCGTTCACGTTCCCGGGCTCTTCCCATTTTTCCCGGCGACAAACTGTGCTCACAACGAAGGCAGTCTGCGAGCGACGGTGCTCGCGGCGTGACACTATGCAGATTAAAGCCCGATAAAACGACGAGAGAGGAGAGAAGAAAAACGGGGGACTTTGACAAATCGTCGAAAAATGCCGACGCGAGACGTAGGAGGCGGATCCAGCGCGGACGCTGTCGCGCACTTTTTCCGCCCGTACATGTTGACCTGCGCTTTTTTTCTTTCTTTCTTTCTCTCTTTTTCTCTCTCTCTCTCTTTCTTTGCAATGCTCGAGAGTCGGATGCGGTAGTAGATGCCCGTCTCCTATCGTATCCGGTAGGCGAAACTTCCAGCTACTTCCTGGTGCTCGTATTGTCGCGCTTGATAATCGATAAAACTACAGGAAGGGGAAAAATATATTTCTAGCTCGTCAATTAAAAGAAAAAAACAATCAAGTATAAATGAAAACTTCACGTACATTTCTATAAAAGGGTAATTACGATTCGTGCACTGAGAAAAAAATCTGGTTGCATTAATTAGAATTCTGGTAGATTCAACCAGTATGTCTGTTGGAAAATGGACGAACCAGAATTCTTGTAGGAATTACCAAATGAATCTGATTAATTTCTTCCTGTCAAATTTATCAAATTTTCTTCAATCCAGATTATTGAATAAATTATTTTAAGTTCAGTTTGTTAGAAATTAAATTGATAAACAGTGATGTAAGAAGAGGATGCAGCTCAAACACACATAATCAGAGAGCTAGCGTCCTCTTTCTAGCACTACTGCGTAAGAGAAAAAAAATATACTTTGGATTTAACGTTAATACTAGTTTATATACATTTCATGGCAAATATTGAATACGAGTTAAGTTAAGAAGCAAGCAAAGAAATTAATGTAACATGAAATTTTATAGATCCAACCAGAAAATACTAACCAAATCTTTATAGTAAAATCTATTAAACGTTCTAGTTATAAAAAATCGAATTTTATCATGATAACTAGAAATTCTTGTTTGATTTAACTAAAATGCCTTCAATCATATACGTCTTGTTGATACAATCAAACGATTTTTCTCAGTGCAGCTACTTCTTGGTGCTCGTATTGTCGCGCTTGATAATCGATAAAACTACAGGAAGGGGAAAAATATATTTCTAGCTCGTCAATTAAAAGAAAAAAACAATCAAGTATAAATAAAAACTTCATCGTACATTTCTATAAAAGGGTAATTACGATTCGTGCATTGAGAAAAAAATCTGGTTGCATTAATTAGAATTCTGGTAGATTCAACCAGTATGTCTGTTGGAAAATGGACGAACCAGAATTCTTGTAGGAATTACCAGATGAATCTGATTAATTTCTTCCTGTCAAATTTATCAAAATATTTATTTTCTGGTTAATAATATTAAACTCCACCAGCACCAAGTCGTCTAAAATTTTTCCCATTTAATCTCAAAAGTCTGTTTAATATTTTGAATTCCTACACGATTATTGAATAAATTCAATCCAGATTTTTGAATAAATTAAGTTCAGTTTGTTAGAAATTAAACTGATAAACAGTGATGCAAGAAGAGGATGCAGCTCAAACACACACAATCAGAGAGCTAGCGTCCTCTTTCTAGCACTACTGCGTAAGAGAAAAAAAATATACTTTGGATTTAACGTTAATACTAGTTTATATAATCATATACGTCTTGTTGGTACAATCAAACGATTTTTCTCAGTGCAGCTACTTCTTGGTGCTCGTATTGTTGCGCTTGATAATCGATAAAACTGCAGGAAGGGGAAAAGTATATTTCTAGCTCGTCAATTAAAAAAAAAATAATAATCAGGTATAAATAAAAACTTCGCGTATAATTTCTATAAAAGGGTAATTACGATTCGTGACATCGTGTAAAATGTCGGTGCGTAATAACTTACTTTTTCGCAGAGAGACTATGAGTTTTCCCCTCGTATAAAACACAGATCACGGAAAATTTTTACATATCATACATATTGTAATATTATTGGAAATTACTAACTGGAAGCGTACGCGCGCAGTATACGCTTAATCCCCAACCAAGTACGGCGAAATTTTGTTAGGAATTATTACCGTGTTTCGACGCGAACTCGCCCCCTCCGTTAGGGTATACACATTAACGAGGCAGATGGAAAACGAATATCTATAGAGAGTTAAATGACGTTCCCGATCTCCTTTATACGGTAAACGAGACTGGTAAATCGCGGGGTAAAATTAGAGAAACCATTTTCGTAACGGGTTTTCTAACATCGCGTTCATCATTACTCTCGCAACGGACGCAGAAGATCGTTAAATTCCACGCCCAAGAAATAATTTCAGGAGCTACGACTCACTCCGGCATTCTCTCTTTCTTCCCGTCCCGGCATCTTGCCGAGCTTTTAATTAACGATCGGCATTCTAATGAACGAACGGCTTTTCGAGGAGATCGTTATTAATCCCGCGAAATAACAACGACGCCAAGCAGCACCACGTGCTTCCCGCGTATTTGTTTTTACTACTTTTTCGTACTTACTCTCTTTGTACTGAAGAACGTTGGGGTGTTTCTCGTGAATGACGACGCAGCGATAGCATGATTTTCTGAAAGAAAAAGACAAAGAACATTATATTAAATCGCGTTCTTCGTTTGATAATGTTACTTTACTTTTACTCTCGCCGTTGAAATTAAACAGATAAAATAAGACAACTTGAATGTTTTTAAAAACGCATTCATTGAAATTAAAAAAAAGAATATGTCATAATTTTGTTAATACTCTTCAAAAAAAGTTAAATAAGAAAAAACAGTTACTAAAGAAAAATCTGTAAATGTAATTATTATTATCTGTAATAATAATCACGGATATACACAGTCTGATTAAATTTTAATATTTTCAGCATGATTCCAACGGTTAATATCATAAAATCTCTTTTTCTTTTTTTTTATAATTTTTCTTTAAGGATGTTTTGTATGTACAATCCCAGCAAAAAGTAGCTGAAAATCAATATTGATGAATATCCATTTTGGTGTATTTTGAGTATGAGAAATTGTGTGGAATTACAATTGTGTGTATTACAATTTGATCTTAGCTACAGTGCAGAGATGTATTTTTTAATATTTATTGCGTTTTTACTGAAATATTCCGAATTTTGTTAATTGAAATGATTAACTTTTGGCAGAAAATTTCGCCTTGTGACAGATACATGATTAACTTCATTGAATTATATTTAATATCTTTTTAACCAGTTAGTACTTGTATAATATTATTTGAGTTTTATCGCGAATTTTGTTGGAGAAATCTGAAACAATTTCATACAGCACATGCAATGTGTGTTTCAATCCTTCTAATATAATGGGTGTAAACTCACAGAATTATTCACAATTCATATCTCTAATGAAAATATTTAATGCGTCGAATTGAATGCTATTTCATATTTTTTTCATCTTTCTTTCTTTCTCTCTCTCTCTCTCTAATATTGATGTAGACACAATTTATCTTTTTACGACCATATGATTTCTTGATATATATTTTAATAAAATATCAAATCCATTTCTCTTAATTATTATTAATTAAGAGAAATTATATATTATATATTAATTATTATTAATTAAGAGAAATTATATTTAATTATTATTATTAATTAAGAATTCATCAAGGATGTTTTGTATGTACAATCCCAGCAAAAAGTAGCTGAAAATCAATATTGATGAATATCCACTTTTGGTGTATTTTGAGTATGAGAAATTGTGTGGAATTACAATTGTGTGTATTACAATTTGATCTTAGCTACAGTGCAGAGATGTATTTTTTAATATTTATTGCGTTTTTACTGAAATATTCCGAATTTTGTTAATTGAAATGATTAACTTTTGGCAGAAAATTTCGCCTTGTGACAGATACATGATTAACTTCATTGAATTATATTTAATATCTTTTTAACCAGTTAGTACTTGTATAATATTATTTGAGCAAATATTTCCTCTGTATCTTTTGCAAATTTTAAACAAATTCTGAATATTATTTCCATGTGTTTTTGTCATCTGAATTGACATGGTTATACGTTTCCCATAATAACACATATTAATTCGGTGCAAATTAAAATCCTTATAATTTGTGAACGCTTTAGTGAATCGATTTAAAAATTGTACTGAAGATTCTAAACATATGTAACATTCTGTACAATTTTCATTAAATTCTCAATATTTTGAAAATAGATACAAAACATCCTTAATAAAATGGAATAATTTAAACATATGGCAATATATACAATATATATTATTCTCTCCTTTTTTTATCTCGCTTGATCACATCGGTTTATCGATCAAAATTTTATATATAGATGAATCTGAAATCATTGGTAAAATTTAAAGAAACAGCTCGTATATAATACAGAAGTTCTATTTCTGTCAAGAAGCTTCGTTAAATTCATTTTTAAAATCCCGTATTTTTCGCATTTCAAAGAAAGATTGCATTTTTAAGTGGTTCGTTATTATAACTCGTTTTACGGATCGCACATATATCTCGCAATTCTGTCTCTCATATAAAAATATTGTTTATTTTTACTGAAAACCAAAGATTTAAATTCTCTGAAGAGAGATTTATTTTTTTTTTCACGTATTATTTGCATCAAATTCCTCGTAAAGGAATCTGGAAAAGTTTACAGTCATATGCTTTTAAACGATACTGCCAATTCTGCGGAATTGAATAAACCGCTAGTCGTGATAAAAAAAGGATCCAGGTTATTCGGTTGAACGATATCGCTATATTAGCTTTAGTAACTAAGGCTTTGATCGGTTGGGTACATGTATTCTATACATGTTATCTGTGAATCCTACTATATATAACTCCATAGAAAATTTCCAGAATAAAAATTGTCTCGCTACAATTGCTCGCGGGATTCGCTCAAAGAGATTAAAATAAATATGATGGATACAATAGCTTGTTAACTTCATTATGATATATCTGAAAGGATTAATATCGAATTGGTTCGAAAAATATGTGTGAGTCCTCTTAGTGCTTAATTATTTACTATAATACGCAATATTAAATAGAGAGATGAGAAATATACAATTGTCTGCAAGTTTTTTATACATTCAGTTATACGCTTTCTTAATATTTAAAGATTCTGTCAGTAATTTCAAAAGCAATATCATAATATATTTTATTTTATTCATTTTATTTATTTTATTTTATTGTTATTTATCAGATTTATTATCTAAGAACAGCAATGTACAATAAAAGACTAATTATGTATAATAAAATATCACCATTCTTCAGTTAATTTATTTATAGCAATTAATTGATGTGCTTTGTTTATCATAATCTTTTATTATTTAATTTTATAAAATAAAAAGATACTGGCGTTTAGTTACTTACGAATCTACTAGAAGAAACTTGTCGCCTTCGTTGTGCAGGCACTTGCCCTTGGTTGATAATTCGTTCTTGAGTATATCTATTGATTGCCTCACGCCACTTTGAAACCACTTGCCTTCCCATCTCGCTGGAAATGAGCATTCTGAAATAGAAAAAAGTAGATCAAAAAGGGTTAACAAATATTTCAGTACGTTTTTCACTATATGTACATATTTTTCATATCACTAAAAGCAATTTTAATCTTTCTAAGATTTTTATATAATAAAAAGAGATAATGTACATTTCTAAAATTCTCTAATGCTTTTGACGCGAAATTTGGCACATCTCTGTCACAAGAAAAAAAAGACGACTGAATAGAAAATATACCCAATAAAATAATTCAGACCAAATCGAATGCAGAGACATGAGAAAAAGGGATAAGAATAAAAGAGAGAGAAAAGAGTAGAATTTGAAGTCGAGAAGAGAGAGAGAGAGAGAAAGAGAAGAAGAGAGGAAGGGAGAGAGAAAGAGAGAGAGAGAGAGAGACAGAGAGAACACAACGTCGGTGGCGAGATGGGAATTCCCGGGGTGGGATAATCCCGAGGGCGAGGCGAATTTCCGGAAACTACTGCTAGTATGGAAGGGATACATCCAGCCGAGTTATCGACGATAATCGAAATCCGGAGGAGTCCCTCGTGCCTCGTTCGTTTCCCCGTGCGTAGGTCCACCTATCTGAAAACGAGCGGAGAAACGAGGGGGAGGATGACGCGGCGGGGGTATATTTTTGAACTCGTCGAGACGGGATAGGAATCCATTTTCGAGAAACGAGCGGACGCGCGATACAGAACAATGTTTGATCTAAACATGAGGTGAAAATTACGAAATAGAAATGATGGATGTATCTCTTCTTCTCTCCTCGTACAATGGATATTACATGTATTCATACTCTGAATAAAACATATTATTTTTCAAACGGCAAATTCGCGATAAATCCGATAACACCGGTCGCGCTATATATTATTAAACGATATCTTTAATGTTTGATGAATTTATTGATTATTTGTAAACGCAAATAGCAAATAAATTGAGCTAGAATAATAATTATTCTATATATTTTATCGATACACTCTAATATTATATGAGAGAATGCTGATTATAATTTAAAATAATTTTTATATGTCCATAATGAAACTGATAAATCATTATAATTTAATAGCATCCTTTCCTTGAGATATCGTGCAATATCCTCATCTTATCTTGATTCGAATTGTCATTCTATACATATCTAATATAATTCACGTTAGAGATTAATTTAATAGCATAACTTTATTATATAGCATCATCGTTTCGCTTGTGAGAGAGGTATTCTTCGTTAATATCCTATCAGATGTAACTGTCTCAACTACCCTTATGTATAGCCTAGTATTAGCCAGACTGCTAAAACTAATAGTCTCATAATTTTGATTTATTCTGCGTAATAATTATCGCGATAAATTCCGTTCGCAATTACCTGTATTTATTAATAATAGTATTTTCATCTGGAATACGATTTTTTCAAAGAATTCAGAGATATTTAAATGTCACATCATCGAATAACTACGACATCTCCCATTTAATACACTTAATTAGGCATCAGCGAGGCATAATTAAGAAACGAATGGACGTGGAATTTGACGCATGGTGCGAAAGTAATTTAACACGGAGAAATATTTTCGCAAGGATTTTTTTATGACTGTAACAAAGGGAATTTTAGTTGAGTGCCTGTAACGAGGCAAGACTGTTATCGTTTCCTGAAGTTGACTCGCTGTGTTGATTCATCTAATTGAAGTGAGTTTTTTTAGCTCTTTAGAAGGAGAGACGGTTAAATGTTGGTTAAATGGTTTACCGACCGTGGGGTAAATAGCGACCTCTTCAAGAACAAAGCTCTGCGGCTAACGCAAATTTTGACTGAGTGTTTGCAATAACAAAACGCGAATGAATTCCAACGCTCCGAATGTCGAAACTATCTTTTCAAGATATTTTCTTCGTTTTTTTTTCTTCCTTTTCACGCGAATGCTTTGATGATGACATGCTAAGCTTCGTGAAGCTTTTATAATAGTTCACATAAACATATAAAATTTCCTCTTCATTTTGCTTGAAGAAAAAACTGCGACTTCTTAATTGATGAGTCTAGAGAGAATTTTACATAGAAATAAATGGAAAAGCATCCGAAAATTTCTTCTGCCTAATGATCATATTAATTTCACAGAGTTAATTCATGATTCATCTTATTATTCCATTTGAATCTATATTTTTTAGACAGTTTTTTTATATATATATAATAACTTTATAAGTATTGACCTTTTGTAAATAAAATTGTCAATTTTTTACTTTTAAAGAAATTTATAAAATGTAAAAATTTTATCGAAGAGTATATTTGTAAAATAGAGATAAATAGAGAAAACATATTTAATTAAAATAATATAAAATATACATACACACATGTGCGCGAATCCATTTAAATGCGAGCTAAATATTGCTAAGCAAACAAATACATCAGCAGGATTAATTAAACCTTGATGGTCTGCTGTGTTTATTTTGCATCATTCATATCAAACAGAAATAAGCAGAGGGTCAAAGAGATTGATTACGTGTGATGAAAAAATCATCGAACACTCAAAAAACGATAGGTACAGGTGCGTTCGGCGTGGAATAGGGATCGATACGATGCGCGGGGTTTCGAGAGAACTACGGTCCTGAAATTCGTCAGCCACCCTCCTCGCACATCCATCTACCCCTTCCACCCCTCTATCGTTTTACCGTCGGCGGCCATCCCCGGGCATTTATTTATTTCCACGCGGTTCGTATGCCGCACGTTGCCTCGTCTCCCGACTTTCGGGCACGAGCGAGCAGCGAGACGAAACGGGGGAAAGGGGCGCTCCAGAGGGTCGGAAGAGCGACGCGGGATCTGCGAGGGGGCGAGAGTCCGCGAGGGGTGAGACTCCGCGAGTGGTTACACGCTAGGGTCGTAAAATCCGCGGGCGAGACTCAAAATCCGTAATCACAGTTCGCACCAGCCACCCACCGTGATGAAGCACCTTCGAGAGAGGAGGTGAATTGCGGCTGGAAAAAAGAAGTTGGGGGAGAATAACTCTCGGGCCTCTGCCGTCTGGTGAGTCTCGAACGTTACGTGAATTTCATTCCTCAATTCGCGGCCTTTGTGAATTGCCTTTCAGCCGTTTTCTTCATTGTTTGAAATAATAATTGATCGTTTATTTCGAATCGATTAGAATTTACGACTGATATTCGCATCGATTTATCTGTCGCGGTTTCGCGTAGAATGAATGAACAATGAATGTTAGTTTAAAGGGAAATTTCAAAAGCAGTTATGTCGCGTGAACGAAGCTTTTTTTAAGCGCGAAAAGATAAATCGGAATACATGATTCAGTAGAATACAAGATTTTTCTATGTCGGAGAATAGTGGTGAAGGATGGAATGCTTTTCGACCATCGGCCAATGGAATGTACTGAAATTTTATATTTATGTCTCACACACACACACATATTTCCGCAGTTATATTGCTGGTTTCGATAGGAAACAGATCGAATAGACAAAATCAATACAGGCATCGATACGCGCGTTGGTAAATTGAAATCCATAACTACGGTATATACGGTATATATCTCTATATGTTCCATTACTATGACAGAGTACCTCGTCTTTGAGCGGTAACGTAATGAATCCGATACTGAGATGCAATTTTCATATTGTATCAAATGTCCTCACTTTCATTTTAACACGAATAATAACGTAACAAATATTTTTGATCTCGTAGAATTTAGATATTTTGGAGCAAATTAAGATTTCTGATAATAGATGATATCTTAATAATTTATTTAATTAAATAACCATGCATTTTTCACAATAGTTATTATATGAGTTATGTTAATTGAAAATGTAAATCGACATTTTAATGAAAAAAAATTTCTGATTACTGTTTTGAAATTGTATTTGTTGAATTTTATTATTACGCTTAAAATATTATTATTTGCATTTATATTTTCATGTGCATGTGCAGTTCGACAATATTTTAATATGTTAATATAATAGGAAAAAAGAGGAAAAGAAGAAAGAGAGATTATGAGATAAAAGCAAACAATATAAAATAATAATAAAGTTTTAACAATTTAACAGGAATAAGAATATGCTTTACCCACAGAATTAGATTTTCCCAGTTTGAAGTAGTCATTAACGAAGAACACTCTTGTAATATTTTGGAATATTTTTAATTATTTTATATAATAATGTGCGTATGTAATGCAAGTTTGATAATATCAAATACCATATTAAAACGATATAAAACAGTATGGTAAAAGTTCAGTTTTAATAATGAAATAAAAAATTTTGAATTAAAAGCTCAGATAAATAAATAAATAATTATTAACTGTTAGAAGAGTAAATAAAAAGAAAATTTCAATATATTAATTATATTTCAATATAATATCTCTTACATTTTCTTTTAGTTGAGATACGAAAGATCGTACCACGTATTTCGTGAAGATACATGCAATCAGAAAATTAAATAATCTGATTATGCAAACGAAATAACTTCGCTCTTCAGAAATAGCAAGAGATATCGAAACGAGGAAATATTACACAAAGGTCTACCGTACCAGTAATCTTTCTTCTGACAAATTAACGATCCTAGTTATTCAAAATTCTCTTGCAGCGTAACTTTTGCCAGTGAAATACTATCGTACTTCTGTTTTCGGGGGTAATCGCGCGAGCTTACTTAAGCCCCACCGGATTCGGACGACGTTACTTACCGCGTAAGTTACGATCGTTGTAGCAGCGAGAAGTTGAGAAACGTTCTTATGTGCTCGACACGCAATTAAGTGGGCTTTATTCTCACGGACAGGACATTATTTTCCGCATTCTCTCTCGGAGATCCCCCCGTTCCTCATCTCCATCCGAACATCCCCCCCTCCCGCCCAACAGTTACCGCATTCTGCTTTTGTTCAACGTACAACGATCCCTCACGACAATAATTTACCTCCCAAAACGGCACATGTTCGTCGACAAAACGATACGCGTGCGCAGCATAATTTCGTTAACAAATAACTGTGTTACGAGTCACTGTGTACGACATTACACTTGTAAGTGATAAGCAAGAACAATCCCGCC